CAGATTCATTGTGAAAGAGAATGTGGATTTTTTTTTCTCTTTTACCTTTCACCTCAACCAAGCCCAAATCCCCCCACCCCTGCCTTCCATAACACACACACAGATCACATCTTCCTCCTGACTCTCTTCTTGTTCTAAATATGCCCTGCATAAAATGAAGCACAAGAAAAAAAAAGTCCTTTTTTCTATGTGAGCATGGACCTTCTGTTTGATGTGCGGCTGGTGGGAGGTAACAAGAAAAAGAGAGGAAGGCGCCTCTAAGTGCAGTATTGACAATTTATTCAGTAAACAATGGAAAATTTGCACTTACAAGATAAAGGGTTAAAAAGGCTCATTGTGTGGTAATTAGATCCAGGTGGGACATCCAGCCCTCCAGAAGCAAACTGTGTCTATAGGATTATAAAGTAGAGACTAGGATGTGTCTGTGCATCAAAAATGAAGCTTGGAGAGCAGAGTCAAATGTAGCAGGTGAAGGGGGCGGTAATGTATTTCGGAGCATGCTCAATAGGCTCCTTCTTCAGACCTGGTGGGAGGTGACAATCTTGTCCTTCAACAACGCCTACAGCAGTAAAAGCTGGAGGGTGACATCACTGGTCTAGACAATTCTGCCCTGTTTCTTCATTTCCAAAAACTGGGGCAAAAAAAGAGATCACCTTGTCTGTTTTCTTGGGGGTGTTCACTTTGTCCTGGCATTTTTAATATGTTTTATAACAGAACGTAAGAAATTAGTTTTTTTTTTTTTTTCAAATTGTGAGCTTTTTTTTGTATAGTTAAAAAAAATAACCCTAACAGCAATTAAAGTAGAACTACAGCCAAAACTTTTAATTTTCATTTTCGATAGAGTAAGGGAGGGTTATAACCTCTGTCAGATTTGTTTTTGTCATTTGTCTCCCATTGAGGAGATATACCGTCACTTCCTGTCCCATAGCCAAAACAGGAAGTGAGGAAATCCCTGTAAATTAAGGGAATCCCTTGGGGACCCCCAGATCACCAAAACTACTGTACCCGTTGGAAGAGTTACTTTACTGGGGACAATTCAAAATTTTCTGCAGTCAGCAGAAAAACCTGGCAGGTGTTCTAATCCCTCTCTACTCTATCCAAAACCAAAAAGAAGTTTTGCCTTTAGTTATATTTTAAAATATCACCAAAAGTAAGCTTTGCCTAAATAAAAATTATAAAATTATTTGGGTACAGTGTTGCACGGTGGTGTAATTAGTGGGTAAGCCAACACAGCCCTGAAAACTGAAACATGGCCCTGTGATGAAAGGGAATCTACAGGCTAGTACCCAATTAGTTAATTTAGATGTATTCCTCAATGGCCACAAAAAAATAATTGCTCATTTGACTAGAGTGGGGAAGGGATAAAGTACAAATATTTTTCATATTCCTCACTCTTCCAGCAGCCGGTGCTCTCCAATCTTTGGGAATGTGGGTGGGCCCTTGCTGTCATACAATGCAGGAATGCTGGTCCAGCCAGCAACTCTACAGCAATGGACACAAAAAAGTAATGCTGGGTTATGAATGGCGTACCCAAGATTGGGTAATTTCAGCTGTATGTGACCACAGGTAAATTTGGAATCACAAACACAAACAGAAACTGAGAGCAGTCCAGTCAAGAATATCCCAGTCCCTCCTTTCTGTTTTGGCATTTTGGGAACAAGATTGTGTTTAGGTTATATTGTACAAAGCAGCCTTTTTTTCAACCTTTGCAGAGGAACCCTTGACATAACTTTCCGGTCTCAGGAAACCCCTGCTAAAAATGACTATATCCACAATTCGTGATACATTAGTGTGATAATCAGAAGTAAGAATGCCCCTTACACTTTTGGTCATTGGGAAGAATTACCCCTTTACAGATTGCTAAAAATATCAATGATGTCAGTGGGAACTTACCAAGGCAAAAATTTCTCATTGCTCAAGGAACCCCTAACAACCTCTGGAGGAATCCTAGGGTTCCACAAAACCCTGGTTGAGAAACTCTGGTATTGAGTGAACCTAAACTTTAATCTTGATGCTGAGATGACCTCTGCAACCACAACAGTGAATTGCTTGAACATTTCCAAAATCAATCAGCTCTGCACCAGACTGATTACACAGAATGCAACCAGGGGCGTATTTACCACAAGGCAAACAAGGCACTTGCCTAGGGTGGCATTTTTCAGGGGGCCAGCACCTCCCCCCAGAAGAAGGGATGAAAGAAGGGACAAGCGCACCATGGGAACCAGGTAGGATCTGAGAGCGGCTGCGGGGTGATTGATGGTGTATGTACAGCCTGGCTTTCGCTTCCGGGGATGTTCGGAGCTGTGAAGATGAGTGTCTCTCAATTGCTTGGGGGGGGGGGTAGTGGAATTCTCTCCCGGGTGGGAGGCAGGGGTGTTCTTGGTCAATATCAGGCTCTCTCTCACTGGGAGTGGGAAGGGGAGGTTGTGTTGGTCGGTGTCCATGGGGGCAGGCAATTTTTGTGTTGCCTGGGGCAGCACAAAACCTAAATACACCATTGTATGCAACCACATACATCACAAACCTTTCCACAAATGTCTTCAAGTTAGTTGAAAGCAATGGAGCCATCTCCTAGATTGCAAGCTCTAATGAGCAGGGCCCTCTGTTTCCTCTTGTACCAAATTGTATTGTAACTGTAATGTCTACCTTCATTTTGTAAAGCACTGCGCAAACTGTTGGCTCTATATAAATCCTGTATAATAATAATAATCATTTAACATCTATGGAGTCTCACCACTACAGCTGTATTTGTTTCTATTATTAATATGACAGTATCAGCACATAAAAAAAAAACAGAAATCTGTCAGCTAAAAAAAAATCATCTGTACAGTAATACCACTTGGGTTTCCATACACAAACACTTTTCTACCAGTGTACTGTCTAGATTAATTGTAAATTGACGGGATCTCTGAAAAGGTGACAATTTTCTAATATCTGAAGACTGACATTTTAAATTGAAACAAATTATTACTCTCAAAACCCAGAGCCTTTATAATGAAAACATTCTCTATTCACAAATATAAAAAAGCATGTCTTTCTCATTAAATATTTAAGGACAGGTAAACTGAGCCTTTCATACTTTCCTGCATAAAACAGATGACTGGATGTCTAATATTTGCACTGAAATGAGAATGTACCTTGTGCTAATCCATCTGCTTTCTGGATTAAGGTACTTATTATTTGGAAATGGGCAAAGCCATCTATCTGGCAAAGGAATTATAACGCTTCTAATTAAACTGCAGAGTCACTTTCTTGAATAAACTGCAGGAGTAGGCAAGCAGATGTAGGTTTTATTTCTCCGACTTAAGAAAAACCCCTTGGAAAAGCAGAGGCATGTGATTGACTTGTAGAAAAAAAAAACAAAACACACAAAAAACAAACAATCCATCTAAGAACCGGATTTTAACCTACTGTAGATGAATTTTCTACACTGTCCAGAAACAAAAGCTGCTGATGACCTACTTTACAACTCTGCTCTGGTCGGGATTATACGCTGCTTGTAGAAACTGTGCTTAATTGTAAAAAGCCTAAAGGCAGCCACAAACTAAAGTCTAAGTAATTGTTGGGAAAAAAAAACCTGTGACTAAAAGTTAAATAGCTAAAAAGTTAAGAATTGCTGCAGGATAAGCAGGGCCTATTATCCAGAATAGCCTTTGGGCCTTCCTGCATTGATTGGGCTAGCTGATCCAATCTACAAACACCTTCTGAATATGCATGTTCCTAATATGCCAAGGTTGATGGCACTGATTAGCTTGGTATGACTGGACTGAGTACAGAGGCTAGGTGCATGGTTCCATGGCTACATTGCCAAGGAAGTAGCTCTGCCACTAGGAATAAAAATGTTTTCATTTTAAAATAAACATTTCAGCATACTGCGCAGCTGAATGTAGGCTTGTTCCAGGAGTCATTGCACAAGCCCCTGATGAAGTCCAATCAGGGGGAGCTTCATGTGTGATGTCAGCATATAATCTTTGCAGTGGTCCTAACAACCAATCACCTGCAGGTTCATATGAAAAGTTCATTTGGCCTGCTCCTCCTTCCGTCCTCGGTCCTGAGCCCTGCTGTCTTCCACTCTCCGCTGTGCACTGAGAATGACAGCAGCAGCGGAGGAGGCTGGGGGAAAGGGGGAGAGAGGGACTGTTCATAGTCTACTTGTCACCTACCCATGGATGACAGGTAGAATGCGATCGAAGGGTTGCTGACCCCCAATCTGCAGTCAGAGGATATTTGATAATTGTCACTAGTTGATTTGTATACCATCTTTCTCTGCCATCTGCTGATCATGGTGAAAACAGAGCGTGGAGAATTCTTTGACTTGTTCCAAGAGCAGGCATAGTCAGATATTTAACCAGACCATCAAAAAGACCATGCTATGTCACTCTAGAACTGGTGTGATTGCATCAGGTCTTGTTCATTGTTTAAAAGATTTATATCTAGACTGTAGCTAGCATGAGTCACTTGGCTTTCAGACCACATATACTCATTCCCAGATTTGTTGCTTTGCTCATCTATAAAGGTCAAACATGCCTCCCAATATAGGAAACGGCCCCCTCTAGTTCTCCCTGCCTATCTGCGTGCACAATTATACAGTATAATTAAATGAAAGCACCATCTAAAGAATCTGGTGAAAATCTACTTAAAAGACAAGGCCATCTTGTATTTATTATACGTAGGGATGAGCTTGGGCATATGTTCAGATCCTAGCCCAAACCCAGCAAGAAGCTCTCACTGTACTAGGTCAATCTTCTGCAACCTGGACAATCCCCGCCCCGCAGTTGCACATACAAGCGGCATGTATACGTGTTGCTGCACTGCAAGGAATGCTCTGACCACAGATGATTAGCCCAGTACAGTGACAGCTTCCTGGCTCCATGCAGGTTTAAAACTAGGATCTCTTCACATCCAAACTCATACCTACTGAAAAGTAAGCTATACCCATTCAATGACAAGAAAAATGTACTACAAGACTGTTTTATTAATGAGAGAATTGCAAATCTTACCTTCTTCTGCAATCACTGTCAGGGTGACAGCGTTTCCAGCATCCTTTATGAGCTGAACAATGCTATCATGTGACAGCTCCACAATTGACTGGCCGTTAACAGCTGAGATCCTGTCTCCAACTTTCAGCTTTCTGCATCGGTCAGCAGGACTACCTTCTATTACACGTCCAATCTTGTGAGGAATAACTGCAAAAAACAAAGGACCCAAGTAGTAATCGCCACATCAACTTTCTACATCTAGATTATCAATTTCCACCTGAACACAGCACTCAGTTCAGAGTGTTTCTGGAGGAAAGAGCTGGTAAAATTAAAACATTGGAGCTTGCAAACGGGCTGCCTGAGCTCATTGAACGTAACTGCGTTTGTATTTTCTCCGCTCAGGCAGCCCAGTTGCAGTGTACAGCCTGTCTATAGCATGAATGCCTGTGCGCTGCTGTACTTGTGTATAGTGCACATGGGTACAACATACAAAAAGAAAAAAAAAAAGAGAACTTTATACTGTATGTTTTTGCAAATGGTCATATGCTGTACTTTGTATTGACAATAGCACTGCCATATACATGAGAGAGCGAGGCATGTTAATGACTGGCTATATGCTGAACCTGGGCTGCATGGGTGGAGGAAAAAAGGCTGCAGTTACGCTGAATGGGCTCAAGTGGCCTGTGTGCAAGAGCCCTTCAGTTGTTACTCCAACCAATCTTAATATACAATGGAAATCTTGTATTTGTGTGTGTCCAAAACAAAACAAAATATGGGCACTTGTAACAAATTCTCTTACTCATGTTAGCATAAAATTCATACCTGTTCAGGCACTGTTTTAGCGCATTGTGAGTTCTAACCATAGTGCAATATGTGAGAAGACATAATATAGCAAACAACATTGAACAAAAAACATTTTTATGGCACTGAAAAATCAGTCACAATGTCAACTGGTAACATCTGATCAAGACACTGATGTGATCCGATCAACTGGGACTTTTGCACTATTTCCTTATGCAGCTCTCAAGTTTGCATCAGCTAAATGCAAAGCATTCGATGTACAGAGAGGCAGAGGGTGTCATGGCTGCTCGTTTTTCATCGCAAACAGAAACATGTCCCAGGCAACCATATCTTAGAAGTAGTGAATGGGGTTTGATTGATTTCATAAGTGGTCCACATGAACGGAGTTCTATTCACCAATATATAAATGCAACACAGCTAGAATTTCAATGGTTTTACTAAAATGTGTGTAAACCCTAGCAAAAAACGTTTATTTTTTTCTCTTGTGGTCTATAAATATACTATTGAATGTGTTTTGGTATATATGTCTGAAAAGTGCAAAATAATTTGATCTTTAGAGCTGTCCTGTGAAGTCATCTATTTAGCCCTCACAGTTATTATGGACTACAGAATGGTTCTTATCATGGACTAAAGAATAATTATCAGAGAGTAAAGCAGGCCATAGATTGACCGATTTTCATTCCACCCCCCCCCCCCCCCCCGGTTGAATCCATCCCGTGGAGCAATTTTGTTTTTCCAGTGGGGGGAGAAAACAGTGGTTACTGCTAGCCACTAGCAATAATCGCATGCATATGAAATCAGACAGGCTGGTTTACCAGAGTTGATCGATTGATCAACTTGGATACATTCAGCCTGCCCATACATGGTTTGAATTTCAGCTGGCACCGTCTATGGCCGGCTTACAGTTGGTTTAATAGTTTAGAAAATGACCCTGGGAGAGCTGGCACTACTCAGTCTACACAAAAGCTGTATATTGACAGTCCATAATAGGGTTAAAAACCAAGTGCATTTCTGGAAGATCAATAGGTATTTTAAAGCTGAACTCTGAGAATCATAAAACAAAAAAAACCCTTGCAGTAGGGCCATATTTACCTTACTCCGTGCTTTGGCAGGCTTTTGCTATGTGTGCGACAGGTCCACCAAAGCTTCTCCTTTAACCACTTGACCTCCAGAAGATTTACTCCCTTTCATGACCAGGCCATTTTTTGCTTTTGGCACTATGTTACTTTAACTGACAACTGCGCAGTCATGCAACGCTGTACACAAATGAAATTTATATCATTTTTTATTAACACTGAGATTTCTTATGGTGGTATTTGATCACCACTAGGTTTTTTAATTTTTGCACTGTAAACAAAAAAAAGACTGACTGAAAATTAAAAAAAAATATATATATATATATATATATATATATATATGTACATACACATATACAGTGAAGTAAATAAGTATTTGATCCCTTGCTGATTTTGAATGTTTGCCCACTCACAAGGAAATGATCAGTCTAAAAATCAAATGGTAGGTGTATTGTAACACAGAAAGACAGAGTAGCAACAAAAAATTCAAAAGAAATGCATGCCTAACAGATTATGCACTGATTTGCATGTTCATGAGGGAAATAGGTATTTGGTCCCCTTCACAAAACATGACTTAGTACTTGGTGGCTAATCCCTTGTTGGCAATCACAGAGGGATCAAATACTTATCTCCTTCACTGTGTGTATATATATATATATTTTTTTTTTCTGTTATAAAACACATCCAAAAAATGTAATAAAATCTACATTTCGTCATAAATTTAGGCCAATATGTATTCTGCTGCATATTTTTGGTAAAACAAAATCCCAATAAATGTATATTGATTGGTTTTGCATGAAAGTGATAGCGTCTACAAACTATGGTATATATACAGAAATTTGTATTTATTTATTTTTATACTAGTAATTGTGACGATTAGTGACTTATAGCAGGACTGGGACAGTGTTTCAGGCAATCTGAAACTTACTGATACTTTTAACACTTTATGGAAACCAGTGACACTAATACAGTGGTTATTGTTAAAAATATACACTTTTACTGTACAAATTACACTGACTGGGAAGGGGTTAAACATCTAGGGCAATTAAAAGGTTAAATGTGTGCCTAACCAGTGTTTATGTGTGTACTGTGAGGTGCTTTCACTAAGGGATGTGCTGGTTTTTATTCCCTGCCTTGCTGAAAAGCAGAAACCGCCACATCCCTACTGACAGGACAGAGCTTTCTATTGTTTACATTTACAGAGCTCTGCCTTGTCTTCCTCCTCCTCACTGATCAGCGGTGCCGGTGGTCAATCATTGGCTGGCACCTGCTGATTGGCTTGTGCTAATCACAGGAGAGCTGGCGTGCGCGCTGCCTACCCGGAAGTGCCGGATAATGTACTGGATACATGATCTGACACAGGAGAACCACTCTTCCGCTGTACTTCTAGATGAGGTGGTTGGCAAGCGGTTAAGCACTTTGGCCAGAGGTTGCACACTGGCATCCAGTGCGATTTTGGATCATGAGCCTGCACTGTACATGGATGGTGAGGGCCCACCCACAACCCAGGAATTTTGGAGAAAAGAGGAGAAATCTAGGGCAAATAATAAGGCATGTATTATACTCTATTTCTCTACCCTTAGACCCAGTTGGCCATGGATCTCAATTTGGCTGTTTCAGCAATGACTGGCAAATTTTCAATTTATGCGTGGCCACTGTGGTTAAAAGAAGTTGTTCTACTGGTTGACATCTGTTCAGCTACCCTGTTGATTTTATTTTTACTCAATCAGCACCACAGGCAGTAGGCTTCAGCGCTGATCTGCGGATTCTGAGGATGGGGAAGTCTCCCGGCTGTCAGAATACAAAGACAAAGCAGGGAGAATTCCTACATCCACCTCAAATGTATGGATGGGGGAATCAAGTTGTTGTTTTTTTTTTCCTTCAACCCACTGGTTGAGCAAAAAAAAAAAAAAAAACTCACTCATGTTTGGCCAGCCTTGGACAGGAAGGCTCCTCTGAAAGTTTTTTGAGTAATTTCTGGAGTTCAGCTTTAAAAAAATAAAGCACAAAGGAAATATCCATATATTGCAGAGATGTACTGCATATTTTTAAAAATATTTTTCCTTGACATATGCTTCATCTCTGAAATTCTCTTGAAGTAAACAAGCATATTCAGGAAACAAGACATGTCTTACTGTTTTTTGCATAATATTCACATTAAACCTTTGAATACACTACCCTCATCCCCCCAATAGGGTTCACTGAACTCTGCATGCAGCTCTGTCCGCTTATTATCTCGCAAGTCATCACAACATAGCTGCAAACCGAATGCCTGTTTCCACACATTTTTACTGATGTACAAGTTCAATGTAAAGAAATGGAATATAATTAGAGCAAAAAAAGAAATTCAGCCTGTATGTGTAGAGAAAACGGGGGGGGATACTGCTAAATTGTCGGCTCACAATAGCCCCCAGAATAGCTGAACCTGAACAATCTGCCAGGCATTTCGAAATTGAACAAAGTACTATACACCAGCACTAGATACTTCTTACAGTTCTACATTAAATAGTGCTGACGTTGCTTTCTCCTTGCCCTAATTGATGCAAATGCTAATTTAAACAGTTGCCGAGCAGATGTTTTACCTTTAGCACTGTCGAAGAAGGAAACACCATGTTATATATAGAAAGAAAACTCATCGTAATACATGACTGGGCAATCAACAGAACAAATCCTCCTGTAAAAAAAATAGGCCATGCTAATAGTGCTGCACCTTTACATGACATTAATATTCAGGCAGATTCCTGGATTGTGAGCTAATTGACTCGTACTCCTGTATGCCCACATGTCTCAGCACTGCGAGATATTGTTAATGCACGCAACATCTGTTTGAACGTATTAAATATGAACCACTGTGAAGGATAAGGCATGGCTGGATTTTTTTTAAGCCAGCCAGGTGGATTTGCATCAGAAAAACAACATCTATGCTAATAACGTTTACATAGGGTTTTCAACCTTGTACTGGCATCACACTGAGCTAAGACTAGGGGAGTAATATTATTTTGTTACAAAGCTAACTCTTACAATGCATAACCATGTGTCATTTATGTACGATATAACCATAATTAACAGCTAACCCACATGGAAGAAAAATATATTTGAAATATTTAAAAAATATTCTTCCCAAATATATTGCTATATATTTGAAATGCTACAATTTTGGCCATATTCAATATATTTAAAAAAAAATGTGTATATATATATATATATATATATATATATACACACACACACACACACACACGCATACATACATACACCCTGTTCCAAATTATTATGCAAATTATATTTTTCTCATTTACCTAAATAATTGATGTAAATAACAGTCAGCAT